TATTGCAATGGGAGGGATTTGGGGGGGGGGAGGAAGGAAGGTGCTTGTTTCCCCCTCGCAGCCCATCTTTGAAACCGTCCCTCTTTTCTCTCTCTCCCACCCCCTCCTCAGGAGTAAAAAGCCCCTCTCCGGCGCTCTCGCCTCTGGCTCGCCATGGAAAGCCGAGGGGACCCCGAGGGCTGCGAGGAAGCCTTTGCCGAGGCTCGCCGTTGGGTGGAGGTAAGCAAGCGGGAGACACGACCGCCGGGCCGGGCACCAGCAGCTGGGGCGTTCCGGGCTTTCGGTGGCGGGCAGGTAAACGCGGGAGGCCCGATTCAGGCCGGTCAGCTTCTCCGGGTTTTTTTTTATTCTTGCTTAAAACGTGGCGCTCAGTCAGGCTTGCCCGGGAGCCCCGTAGCTTGCGTTTTGGCTGTGCAGAGAGATGGCGATGAATTACTACTGAATGAAGTGTGACACCTCTACCTATGCTTAAAGAGAGGCTTTGTTTTATTTGTTTTACTGCCTCCTTCGCTGTATAAGTTGAAAGGGTTTGGATGGGGGGGGCTGCTACTAACCTTACTTTTTTGTTGTTGTTTCATGTAAATGACCGATTTGTGAAAGTGAGCGGCACTGTTATAGTTTTGGTAAAAGTGGAGGCAGGGAAAGGGTGGGCCTTGTGCATTTCAGTGACAGCCTCCCTAGATCGCCCACTGAGTTATTACGGGTTTGTGAGGTTTTTTCCCCCTAATTGAGAGTCCTCTGCTGGCTGTTGGGCACAGCCCTTGCTTCAATTAAGCTCAGATTTCATTAGGAGTTCATGTGTAGGGTTAATTGTACACAGTCTTGCTTGGGAGTCATTCTCACTGAATTCCATGGAGCTGACTTTAGGACAGATGTGTCTGGGTTGTATTCTGTTATAGTGGCTACATATATGCCTTGTTACAAAAGGACATCTCTTAATAAATGGATGAGCCATTTGTGTTTTTCCTGGTGTTTTGGGTCTTCAACTCTCATCACATAAAAACAAAAGAAGAACGCTGCTGGATCAGGCCAAGGGCCCATCTAGTCTAGCTCCCTGTATCTCACAGTGGCCCCACCAGATGCCTCTGGGAGCACATGAGACAACTAGAGACCTGTCTCCTGATCCCCCTCCCCTGCATCTGGCATTTGGAGGTACCTTCCTTTTAAGCCTGGAGATTGTGCATCCCCATCATGGCTTGTAACCAATGATGGACTTTTCCTCCAGAAATCTGTCCCATCCCCTTTTAAAGGCATCCAGGCCAGGTGCCATCTCCACATCCTGTGGCAAGGAGTTCCTCAGACTAACAACACACTGGGTAAAGAAATGTTTTCTTTTGTCTGTTCTCACTTTCCCAACACTCCATTTGAGTGGATGTCCCCTGGTTCTAGTAGTGTGTGAGAGGGAAAGGAGCTTCCCTCTATCCACTTTATCCATCCCCTGCATAATTCTATATGTCTCAATCATGTCTTCCCCCCCCCCAGGCGCCTTTTCTCTAGACTAAAGAGCCCCAAATGCTGTAGCCTTTCCTCATAAGGGAGGTGCCCCAGCCCAGTCATCATTTTAGTCACTCTCTTCTGCACCTTTTCCAGTTCCACTATGTCTTTTTTGAGGTGTGGTGACCGGAACTGTATGCAATACTCCAGGTGCGTCCTTCCCATTGGCTTTGCTGTCAAAGGCTAATGGAACTTACATTCCAGAAACATGTGGAAGGTGACATGTTGTCTGCTCTTGCTTTAATGTGAAAGAATTGTTTCTATTTTACAATATCTGGCTGCTCTACAAGAGCCATTCTCAAGGGGGGGGGTCATAAGACCCCCTGGAGGCCCCTGGCACATTTGAAGGGGATCACAGACTGGAAGCAATTCTTTACACACCACTTCATAAGGTTCATTATGTGACTTATACAGTTCTGATTTGACCTGTATTTCAACATGTGTGCTAGCCTTCAGAATTGGAATACTGTGGGCTTCCACATACTGGGGCTCTGTTTTTCTTGTCCGGTGGTCATGCTTGCTGAGGCTCATGGGTGTTAAAACCACATTGGAAAGGCCAAAAGGAGTCAGAACGGTTATTTTGTTTACAAGAGCTGAGCAGGGCTGTTGAGGAGAGAACGTTTTGAATCTATTTTGAACAACACATGGAAAGCAGTGTTTTGTATGAAACTTTGATCATGGTCTGGAGAAGCAGGTCTGTTATCTATGAAGAGAAGGGAGAATCCTGCTCAGGTGCAGATAGCCATCAAGTCGATTTCCAGCTTTCCCCTTAAATGTTCTCAGATGAGCTGTGGTACGGGAGGTGCCGAGGATGCATTCCTTTCACCTTAGCAAAGCATATATTGAATTTTGTGGCAGGATTTGGATTTCTGTGCAGTCTTTCAGGGGGCAGCTCTGGTGTCTGCTGGATCTACTTTAGCTGTGCCAAAGACAATTGGAATTGTACCTATGGGAGAGATGAACCAACTGATTCCTGAAAGGTGGCTAACTTATTCTTGGAACTCAGCCTATGTAATTGGAAGAGGTATGGCACTATAAAATTAACAAGGTGTCTTGGTTAATTATTAGAAACCAACTGTTGAGCCATTTCAGAGGACACCAATAGGCACAGGCCTTTTTACCCTGCTGAAGTAGCTTCAAAAGTACTGCTTAAGTATGGTTGTGAACCTATTAATCTTAATAGACCTCTTGGAAAATTATTAATAGCACTAGGAATTACAGTGCACATTTCTTTCTAACTCTGAATGAAAAAGAAATGTGGGGACATTTTTTCTTAGCTCTTTTCCTGTTTCAGAAAATGGATATATCGGAATTTTAAGTATACTCTCATGGCTTCTTCTGTTTTGACGAGTAGAATTTCTTAGCACGGAGACTTTGAATCTACCAGTTTATAGCCCTGATGTGGGAAATGTGAAGGCAGGCTTCTTTACACAGCAGGTGTGCTGGAATGCAGAGTGTGATGTAATGTTCTAGGCAAAGAGTAAATCATGAAGGTATTACCAAGGGAGTATGCAAGCTGCCTAGACACATTTATTGTGTGATAATGTTCTGGCTACAATGTTAAAGCTATGTATTCTTAGGCTCTACTTTTACTCTATAGGAATTGTCTGGTGTACTTGGCCTCACAAATGGATCTCCTCATGAAGTTGTTAGATTCCTTAATAAAGTTAGTATAGAGGTTTCACAGTCACAGAATATGTTTGCTCAGGCATAGCTGGGGTGTTACGTACAACCCAGAGAATGAAATTATACTCCACTGTCACAGCTTTACAGTATTTACTGCTTAAGCAGCCTCCCTTTGTGACAAATGGAAGTATGGGCATTCCTCCATACTTTAATTAAAATTTGGCAGCTTTGCTAGGGCCAAGATAAAATTTCTTTAAACTTTTGGATTGGTTATAACTAGTTTCTTGGCAAGTTGATATTGTTCTTTTAGTTCTGTTGTAAATTGCTGTATTAATAAATGTTAGCTATTGAATGATAAAATTGTAGACTAACTCTAGAAATAATTATACAAAATGTCTGTATAGTGCACAACACAGGCTTTACAGCAAGTGATAGTAGAAGTTGGTTAGAAAGCAAATAGGGGCTCTGTAATCCTGGGTGAACCTATAGTGATAACATAGGGTTGGTGTTGACAGTTTGGGGAAGAATCGTGTAGTACCATAATCATCCGAATTCAAATGCATGAAGAAAAATATTTACATCTGGTGTGTGTGTGTGTTAAGGGGGCAATCACATTAAAACATAAACATTAGTGAATAGCATAGTAAGACACTCCCCTTGGGAAAATGAATTGTAGGGCAAGAGAGAAGGAGTTAACTCTTGTTCTGTTTTAGAATAAGAAAAAAAATTCCTTTGAAATGTATATATGGCTAATTATGGGACTTTTCACTTTATTTTGCAGCTTCCAAGTCAAATATACTCGCTTAATAGCCAGAGTGAGTTTATTGTGCTAGTAATTTGAAAGTACAATTGTTGAGACAGGTAATTATTTATTGATTGATTTGCAAGTAAATGGGATAGATAATCAATTCCCTCTTTCTATTACATCACCACTTAGAGTAGTTCATGAACTCTCTTAATTTAGCATCCCATCGGTTTCTGCAGTTATTAAGAACATAAGAAATGTGTTGCAGGACAGGCTGCAAGTCCATTGCGCAAGACCTCTTGTTTCTAACAGTGACCTATGAGATAAAAGGTAAAGGTTCCCCTTGACAATTTTTGTCCAGTCGTGTCCGCCTCTAGGGGGCGGCGCTCATCCCGCTCTTCAAGCCATAGAGCCAGCGTTTGTCCGAAGACAATCTTTCCGTGGTCACATGGCCAGTGTGATTTAGACACGGAACGCTGTTTACCTTCCCACCGAGGTGGTCCCTATTTATCTACTCGCATTTGCATGCTTTCGAACCGCTAGGTTGGCGGGAGCTGGGACAAGCGATGGGCGCTCACTCCGTCGCGTGGATTCGATCTTACAACTGCTGGTCTTCTGACCCTGCAGCACAGGCTTCTGCGGTTTAGCCCACAGCGCCACCACGTCCCTCAGACCTATGAGATACTTCAGAATTTATGGGCAGGTTATGTGTTTGTCCCTTGCCTGGTACTTAGATGCATATTGGCCAGAATCCTCTTGCGTAGCTACAAAAATGGATACTTCGGGATATAAATTTTCCCAAGTTAAGAAATCACTATAGACTATTAGTTGTATGCTGATTCATACAATTCAGTTATGCAAGTGATAATGTCTACAGTGCTTTCTTAACTTGGGGAAATTCACCTCTAAATGTTGTTGTTGTTTAGTCGTTAAGTCATGTCCGACTCTTCGTGATCCCATGGACCAGAGAATGCCAGGCCCTCCTGTCTTCCACTGCCTCCCAGAGTTTGGCCAAATTCATGTTGATAGCTTCAGTGACACTGTCCAACCATCTCATTCTCTGTCGTCCTCTTCTCCTCTTGCCTTCACACTTTCCCAACATCAGGGTCTTTTCCAGGGAGTCTTCTCATGAGTATTGGAGCCTCAACTTCAGGATCTATCCATTCAGTGAGCACTCAGGGTTGAGTTCCTTCAAAATGGATAGGTTTGTTCTCCTTGCAGTCCAGAGGACTCTCAAGAGTTGCCTCCAGCACCACAATTCAAAAGCATCAGTTCTTCAGCTCTCACTTCCATACATCACTACTGGAAAAACCATAGCTTTGACTATGCGGACCTTTGTCGGCAAGGTGATGTT